GGAAGTAGGTGGAGTTTAGACGTTGGGAAGAATTCCCGAGCCTCAAGTCAAGAATTTGAGGTCTTAGCCGGGTGGCCTGGAACCCAGGTACTCTGGTACCCGTGGCCTGGTACCTCCATCACTAAAGGTCTGGGCCAGGGAGGGCGCATTCTGCACAGAGGTCGGGAGCGCTTTGCCTGACTCAGGCCACCCAAAAAGAAAAAGCGGAGTCAGCCTCAGCTGCGGCGGGCGCGGGACGTGTGCCTCAGCACTTTCTATTGTGATCCCCGAGGGATGGGGCCAGATTGGCGGCTTCGGGAAAGGCCTGGGCTCCCCCAGAGGACACCAGAACTGACCGCAGCCTGCCCGCTGACTCAGCAACCCCACCCCAGCGGAAGAGAATGCGGGAGGGGGGCGAGGCCCATTATAAAGACCCTCACGCCCGGCCCACGCGCAGCCTCTTTGATTTCCGTCAGTACAGCCCTCACCCCACCCGGTGAATACTCGGGCTCGGACAGGGTGTCTCCGGGGCGGGGGAGGGCGAGGTGACGGAGAGCCGCTAGCAGCCCGGGTCCAGCCGGGCGTTCTTCACCCTGCCCCAGCCCGGGTTGAGCGGGTCTGGGCCCGGGAGGGCGCCCGTCGGACGCTGAACCTTTGGTCCTGCCCTTCTCACCCGCAGCGGCATGAGCAGCGCCCCTGCTCCGGGCCCGGCGCCCGCCAGCCTCACGCTCTGGGACGAGGAGGACTTCCAGGGCCGCCGCTGCCGGCTGCTGAGCGACTGCGCGAACATCGCGGAGCGCGGAGGCCTGCGCAGGGTGCGCTCTGTCAAGGTGGAAAATGGCGCGTGAGTGTCGGTCCAGGAACCGCCAGGCTGCGTTGGGGGGCGCCGGGATCCCCTGGCCTAAGCTCCAAGCCTGGGACCTCAGCTCTCGGTCCTCCTTTCCCTAGACTGTTAGCCCTGCCTGGGAGAGACCGACCCACATAGGGAACCCCTTGGCCTCCCCAGAACTCGCCATGCGCCATAAGACAAAACGTGTGAACCGAAGAGATAAAGGCGACGGACAGCACTTTGCGGGTGCCGGGTGGAACCAGCCTGAACCCTGAAGCGGTTCCTAGTGTAGTTATTTCCTATCCAGAGTTTTTCTCTGTGCAGTTAGATGGCTCTGCGCTTGGTATAATAGAAGAAGCCAAATCCCTTCCTCTCGCTCCACCCTGGTCTCTGAGAGCCTGGGGCCCCCGACTACTGCAGGTTGTTGCTATCACGGATCTCTACTGCAGGTTGGGGAGGTGGGGCGTCCTACACCTACCTTTGCAAGCACCTAAATGCTTGAGGTAGGAACTCTTGGTCGGGTGATCTTCAGAAGCTGGAAAATTCCTTCCAACCTGCGGAGCCTAAGCTGGAAGTCTGGGTCCCTCAAATCCTGGATAGTAAGATTTAGGGTCTTCAGCTTCTAGAGGGGGCCAGATTGCCATGAGCTGTGTATGTCAGGGTAAGGGCCTAGGGTTGGAGAAAAAGACTGGTTTCAGTCTTCTCGAACACAGTGGGGTTAAGAGTGGGGGAAGAAGGTGTGAGGCTGGGGCAGATGCCTCCCAGTTTCCTTTATCTTTCCCCAGTTGGGTGGCCTTTGAGTACCCCGACTTCCAGGGACAGCAGTTCATTCTGGAGAAGGGTGACTATCCTCGCTGGAGTGCCTGGAGTGGCAGTGGCGGCCATCACAGTGACCAGCTGCTCTCCTTCCGCCCAGTGCTCTGCGCAGTAAGCACAGCAGCCTCCCACCCCGCCACCGGCCCCTACCACCTAGCTCCTAGCTTCAGACCCTGACCCCACCATGGCACCTCAGAAAGGCTGTCCAGTCACTGTATGGGGACATACAAATACAATTCCTAGATGGGTGGTAGCGGCATTACTTCCCAGAACCAGAAGTGTTTCTACAAGTTCAAAAAGTGGGCCCAAGTCAGGTACCCAAAATCAGCACCACGGACAGCACTGAGACTGGGCCGGTCTTGAGCACCTATGGTTCCTCACTTCGTGTCCTCCACACCTATGAGAGAGTGCCTCTGTCATCACACAGTCCTGTAAGGCTGGGGTGGCTGCTGTTAGCCTCATACACAGGTGTGGAAATGGGGCTCAGAAGGAGCCTTCAGACACAAGTGTTAACATGAAGACAAGACTAGAACTCGATTTAGGGATCATTGGAGAAAAGGGGTCAGTCTCTGTGTGTATGTATGTGGAGTAAGGGTTGGCAATGAATCAAATAAGTCACTGGAGGGCGGGATCTCACTTCTCACTTGTGCTGACTTAGGTTCCCTCTGTTGAGGCCTGCGGCTGAGAGGTAGAGGCCAAAGAGCAAATGTTGACTTAGCCTAGTTTCTCCATTCCAGGAGAGGAAGACTCTAGTGCTATGGAAGGCAAGACCCAACCAACACTGATCCCTGCCCTGTCTGTTCTGACTCTGTCATCCCTTAGCTGGATCCAGTCCTTTGCAAGACTGTACCCAAGGTCCTGGCCAGGGGATTGAGTAGTCAATTAGGTCTTTAGGAAAACTATCTTGGTTAATGGGCCAAATTTCTCTCGGGATCTCTGATTTGCCTTCAGCAAATAGGTCCATATTACAAGATGCCCTCTAGCCCTGGCCTGGAAGGGTCTCTGGGGAAACCCTCAGTCTCCCCACCTCCAATCAAAGCCATAGAAGGGACTAGGCTGGGGACTTCTGAACATCCCAGCTTCCCAGAGTGTTATGGACATGATGGACTGATCTCTGGGAATGTCTGTGGAGCCAAAGTGTCTGCACAGCTGTGTTGGGAGGGAAGATGGGGAAAATGGGACTGAGAATGTACCCATTAACACTTCTTTGGAGGGCCTGACCTGTCCACTCCCACCTTTCAGAATCACAGTGACAGCCGTGTGACACTGTTCGAGGGGGAGAACTTCCAGGGCAGCAAGTTTGAACTCAGCGATGACTACCCATCCCTGCCCTCCATGGGCTGGGCCAGCAAGGATGTGGGTTCCCTCAAAGTCAGCTCTGGAGCGTGAGTCCTGGGACTGGAACAAAGGAGATGAGAAGAGAAGGGAGGCAATTGTCTTCAGGGAGCGAGGTTGGGAAAGGTGATGATGTGCTAAGAGACATGGTAAAGAGATGCTGGGAGCTGAGAGATGGGGGAAGTGAGATGATGGAGACAGACTGTGGGGCCAGGCAGTAGGAGATAGGAGTCAGGGAGCCAATGTGGGGATAGAGGAAAGGATTTTTTAAAAGATGGATGAAGAGGCAATGGAGGGTGGGAATAGGGGACAAGGGGAAGACCATGATAAGAAGACCTGGAGCAGTGGGCAGGGCAGGAAGAGATCCATGTAGGAAAAGTTGAAGCAATGGTTTTGGAGCAGGGGCTGAGAAAGGAGGGCTACTAATGGGGGACTTTGGTGGGGGTGGGGGCAGAGGCTGCTTACCACCCTTGTGCTCTCACTGGCCTAGGTGGGTGGCCTACCAGTACCCAGGCTACCGGGGCTACCAGTATGTACTGGAGCGGGACCGGCACAGTGGGGAGTTCCGTAACTACAGTGAATTTGGCACGCAGGCCCACACCGGGCTGCTGCAGTCCATTCGAAGAGTCCAGCATTAAGCTTCGCAGCCTTGACATCTCCCCTGAGGACCCTCAATAAAGGCTCCTGAACCTGCCTGCCCCTCTTGCCTCTTTCTTGATGTCTTGCTTTGTAATCTTCATCCTAATTCTTCTTAAGGTCCTTGCCTGCCAACCTGACCCTCCTCTCAGGTTTTAGGATTCTTGACTACGGAGCATAAATGGGCTGAGGATATATGTGGCTAGACCCTGATAGGGCTGAGAAAACTACTGGTAAGAATCCTGGGGGTCCTGTTAAATACAACCAGTCCCACACCTCTCCTTGGTAAAGGCCGATGAGCTTGGGCCATGTGTACCATAGCACACATGGTGCCTTTGCCATCCTCTGGTTTGGGTGCACACAGTCCTACAGCAGGGCTCATAGCTGAATTTCAACCACCTGGGCCAGGCACCTGCATGCCTGCACAGCAGGACCTCTTTAACGCTATGCAGAGCTCCCCAGCACATTTCCAGCCTTTCTCTTTGCCCTGGCTCCCTATCCAACTGAGCAAACCCTGCACCCTTTTCCCAGCTTTATAGAATTTCTGCTTTACAAAGAAGCAAAGCTGTAAGAGGAGAGATGGGCGAGAGGTCCCACTGCCTCCCAGGGCCTTCTAAAGGGGAGACTTTCTCTGAGTGGAGCCCCCAGATCCTTTGTCTGAATCATAACAATCCCATCATGATATTGAGCTCCAGCATTGACAAAGCATTTTCATACCCTTCCTCTCAGCTGTTCCAAAGAACCCTCTACTCATTCTTCCTCTCCCTCCCCTCTCTTCGGAGGATTGGTGATTTGGAGAGGCCACTCCTCACCCACAGACCATAGTGAGCTTGGATTCTGGAGCAGGTGGCAGAAGCCCTCAGGCATGCTGGGGCTGAGTGGTAGCAGCCACCAGAGCCCCTGGCACCAGTGCAGGTTCTACCCAGTTCCCCATTTGGCCCAGTTAATGACACTCATGATCCCACATAGGCAGGGCCCTCAAAGCCCTTGGGACTCCCCTCATTCTGTCATTCAGGGATGCTTGTGATTTCAAGCCCCTAGGGGACCTATCAATGAGGAGGAGTGGCCCAGGTCATCGCCCAAACCCAGAGGAGGTAACCAATATCAGAGAACAGTTAGACTTGGACTTGAGCCATTCCCAAGGGTCCACCTGTGCAAAGTCAGGCATCTGCTCCTGTGGGAAGAGCCCTGGACTACAAGTCAGAACATCTGGGATCTAATCATATAGCATCCTTGAACCTCCATTCCCTCACTTGTAAAGTGGGGCTATTGATCTCCACCTTGTCGGTCTCATGGAGTTGTGAGAATTCAAGGAGAAACCACTAAAAATGCTTGTGGTGTTATGAAAAAGCACTGGGGCCGTCCAAGTAGGGCCTTCATTCTCCTGCACTGGTCCCCCGCCACCATGGATTCCAGGGTAGGGTCGAGGGATCAAGGGACAGAATTCTAGATAGGGTATGAGTTCTGCTTTCTAAATGGATGGATTCTAGAGCCCATGCCCCTGTTGCATTTGGTTCTTCTAAAACCTTCCATACTTAATCCATTTCACCAATCAGGAAGGAAGCTGGGCTGTCTGCGAGGGAGAAGCCTTGATGAGATCATCCAAATGACCAGTGACAAAACCAGGACTTGAACCCTGGGCTCTTGATCCTAAATTCAGACTGTTAAGGGAAGGCTGACCAGAGCTGGATTTAAAAGCCTCAGGCCTCAGCAGAACCCCACACTTCTGTGGGCCCCAAAAGAGTCTGGAGTTCCTGCCTGGTCACAGGCTCCTAACTGTCCCCTTGGAGAATGGTAATAGTAACAATACTTAATGTATAGAACCTGTCTGAGTGGTCAGCACAGGCTATATAAGCCTCATAATTCTGTATGGTAGATACTGTAATCCCCATTTTATAGATGTAGAGACTAACTTCCCCCAAAGTCATACAACTAAGAAATGGGGGAACCAGAGTTGAACCTAGAACCCAGACAAACGAGCCTCAGAGCCCAGCAGCCCTTCTTCCCTCTTCCTGTTTTGCAGGGGTAAGCATGGGCAAAAGGAGATCTAGTATTCCCCATCCCTCTAGGAAGGTCTGTGGCTGCTGGGAAGAGTCAGCAAGATGGCTTCAAGAATGGCAGTGGGAGCTTGAATAGGACACTCCCTGTCTCTAGGGCTGAGTGTCCTCATCTGCACAACTAGTGAGTTAAGAGAGCTAATATTTGCTGCAGGCTTTGTCAACACAAACCTTCTAGGGTTTCCTGGACCTAGGGGTCCAACTCTGCTTCCCACACTGGAGCCTAAGGAGTAGGGGCTTAGAGGCCCGGCTGAGAGTGTTCTCACTTTTCCAACCTCCTCCTATTCCAGGCAGGTTGATGGTCAGCAGAACCCTCTGGGTCTGGGGCCCAGCCAGGTGGGAGGGGGATGGAGAAGAAGCTGCCTGGGACTCATCCATTGGCTGCACCCAGCCAAGGCCAAAGGGGATGAAAGAGGTCGTCTCCTTTCTGGTGCAGCCAAGACCCAGGGACAGTGGGATGGAGGGGGAGCACCTCTCAACCTCTTTCCAGAGCTCACCTACCCCTTCAGCACCTGAGTCCTCAATGAGGCGGAGACACAGAGCCTGAGCTGTTGATCCCTCAGCAGTCCGGAGCTGGGATATCTGGATAGACCTCCAGCTCTGAGCACCTATCCCTTCTGTCTGTCTCGGCCTTCTGCTGAGAGCATTGAGTGAACCCCACTGCCTCCCCACTCTCTCAGCTCTGGCCTCCTGCTCATCATTTTCTATCTGGGAAAGAAATAAGAAGGCATGAAGGAAAGGGACTGGAACCTCATCTCCATCTCCAAGGCCCTCCCCTCCTGTGAAGCCCTGGGTTTGGTCTCGGCAAACATCCTAATCTCTTATCTTTGTCCCCCCACCCACCCCCTGCCCGCAATTTCTCATCTACATCTTCCTTTAGGGTCCTGGACTCTGCCTCCCTCACTCCCCCTTCAACAAAGGCGAACACCCCAGCAGTTACAGCAAGTGAGGAATGAACCTGGGCCCTGCAGAACTCCTCATGTTGGACTCTCTAGCCGTCATCAGTCAGGCATCCCAGAATCACGGATCCTGCAGGAAACTTGCCCACTCCGATCAATGTGCTCTGGAGTCCCAGGCCTCCTCACCTCCTGGGCTTAAGCAGCAAGAGAGAAAGGACTTCAGATTACCAATACTGACAGTAGCCGCCAGGTGCTGCCTGGTGGCAGGTGGGTTCCTAAGCCCAGAGCCTCATCTGCAGCTGGCATCCCTCCTTAGCTAGCCTCTCTTGAGCCAGGAAGCCCCACCGGTACTCAGAGACTTCGGGCCACCTGGGAACCACATCAGCTTTTCAGTCATTCCACTCCTAGAGCAAGGCGCCAGCTGCAGCCTGGTTCAGGGACAACCAGGAGGCCAGTAGTTGAGATGGTGGATGGTAGGCTGGGAGGACAGGGGATGGGGAAGGATGGAAGAGCAATTCTTCTGGGGGAAATGGAAGAGGGCTCATGAGCCTCCTGCCTGACACAAATTATCAGGACCAAATGAATGAAAAAAGGAGGGGAAGGAGAGACATAGGACTGAGAGAGAGTAGAGACAGGAAGCGGGATGGCACTGAAGAGGCTAGATGAGGGAGAAGGAGAGACCTAGAAAGGGGGAGGAAGGACAAACCGCTAGAAGTTGTGGGGGCGGGGGAAGACCCGGCGCTGGCCCAGAGGCCTGGAAAGGCAAGAAACAGGCCAAAGCAAGAGGGAGACGGGGAAAGAGATCCGGTCTCTAGGGAAGAGCAGAGAGTGAGAGAGGAGGAGGAGGGAGGAGGCTCAGGGAGGAGGAGGGAGCGGAGATAACGGGAGCAGCCGCTGCCCGGGCCGGGAGCGGAGCGACAGGCGAGAGGGAGGGAAGCGGAAATTTAAAAGTGAAGATGCAGATAACGCAGCCTGGAGACGGGAACCCGGGTGGGGGGGGGGGGAGGAAGGGGGAGGAGAGTGGAGCGGTGATGGGGGCCGCAATGGGCGGAAGGAGGGGCTGTGGCCCCTGGGGTCCGAGGTGGGGCCGGGTACCCTGCCCCATCGCTGTTTGCTGAGAGTCAAGGAGGCGCAAAAGAAATGCGCTCCCGACCCCTATCAGAGTGGGAGGCCCAAGCCCATCCCCCGCGCGTCTCCCGGGTTGCGGGGCGCTGGGGGCTGCTGGGTGCGCTTCGCTGCGGCGCTGCACGTCGGAGACTTTATTGCGATCCGGCGATAAGAGGGGCGGGGGCGGGGTCCGGGGGGCCGAGGCAGCTTCGCTTTAATTAAAACGGAAATTGCGGCCCCTGCCCGCGCGGGGGGCCGGAGGGTTCCAGGCAGCCTGGTAGCTGGGAGCATCGCTCCAGGACCCTCTCCATCCCCCGCCACACCCGGGCAGCTCCCTCCCGCCAGGCCCTGCCGGACCCGCGCCGTCTTCTTGTCACCCGCGGTTGCCTCGGGCGGGGATCCGTGCCCCGAGCGCAAAGCCTGACGCGTCCCCCTTTCTCATCCCCACCCCCACCTCCCACCACCCAGTCCCTGGCGGCGATGAGACAGAGCGGCGCCTCCCAGCCCCTGCTGATCAACATGTACCTGCCAGGTACCAGGGACCAGCCAGGGGCTGGAGGCACCAGGACCTGGGGCCGGAAGTTTGGGTTCGGGCATGGGAAGGGGTTGCTGGGGTCCAAGGGAACGGAACGCGGTCCAGAGACTAGGATTGCTGGGAGGACTGAGCAATGTAGGGCACTGGGGGACCTTAAAGGCAGATGGAGAGCTTTGGGGTTTTAGTGTGAGATCTAAGGACTCAAAGTGAGGAGACTGGGAACCTGGGAGGCCGAGGGCGCGAGCTCAGCGGCTGAGGGAGCCTGGTAGGCGGAGCAGGAGTCTTCGGTGTGGCAGGGGACTGACTCAGTGCGCGTTCAGCGTTGGGAAGCTGCGGTCAGCTGAGCGTCGCCCCAGCGCCCTCTTGGCTCCACACCTCCGTGCTCCGAGCGTTCCCACCAGCCCAGCCTTCCAGGCGCCCTCCTCTCTTCTCGGATGGGCTCTGGGCGCTTCCGCTCCGCTGGCGCACTCCCTGCTCGGCTTTATAAGGCTCCCGCCGGCCCGTTCGGAAAGCGGATTTCCTTTTTCCTGGACGCGTTTCCTGACTTGGGCGTTATGGAGGGGCTCCGCGCGGCGCGCGCCCGGGCCAAGATCGGGGAGGAGGAGCTGGCAGCTCGAGCCCCTAGCCTCACACCCAGGAACCAACCCTCAACCCCCCACCCTCCGAGCCTTGGCCGGGAGCCCTCTCGGTCAAGCCCACAACCTCCGCCCGGGTCCTCCTGACTGTTTTTTTCCTGCTGCTACAGATCCCGTCGGAGACGGTCTCTTCAAGGAAGGAAAGAGCCCCGGTTGGGGGCCGCTGAGCCCGGCTGTACAGAAAGGTGAGCTGGCCCGAGAGCAGGGGAGGAGGGGTGAGGACAGTGGATGGAGGCCGGGACACCTACCCCAGAATGACAGGTGCCACCGCTAGGAGATCCGAGAGTGGAAGGGATGTGCAATGTGGCATGACTGTGGAGAGGCTGAGGGGAGGGGGTATTCATTTGGCCTTTGGTTCCACTCCAGTATATTCTGAGTCCCAGAGCTGGACCTGCACACCAGGGCAGAGGGAGAGGATCCTGACCCTTGGCCTTTTTACACTGAGGGGCCAGGACCCAGGTGCTTGGTGTCCTTCCCCTCTTGGCAGCAGGAACACAAGGCGGGGGCCACATCCCAGCAAAGCGTAATTACTCCCTGGCCACTCCACCCCTTCTCCCCACTAGCACTGGGCCAGCACCTACCTGCCTCACTGGCCCAGGCCCGCCAGGCTCTAGGGGCCAAGTCGGCGGGGCCACTGATGTTGATTCTCAGGTTCGCTGAATTACTCTTGGCTTTGCCTTGTTGGTTTCAGAGCCTGGCTGGCCCTCCAGGCAAAGCCTCTCCACAGCCTCCCCGCACCCCAGTACTCTAGAGCTCACCAAGTTACAGTAACCATAATGACAACGTTAGCAACTGCTTTTTCCAAAAGGGCACATGACTCCCAAGGAGAATGGGTTTCCAAGCCTCTGATGTCGGTCTGTGTGGGAGCCAGCTGTGCATTTTAACCTAAACCTTCCCTTAACTGTCCCTTGATCCTGACCTTAGAGCTCCCGACCTGGAGTCAGGCAGCTACTCGCTCAGCTGGTGTGGAGAGACTGGGGTTGAAATGATGGTGAGGGCCAGCGTCTGGGTTCAGAGTGAGTGGTTGAGAGAGGAAGAGAGGTCCACCAGGCTTGGTTCGAATCAATAATCAGACGACTTTGAGCAAAATCCTTTTCCCCGCTCTCTCCTAAAAGAGAGTGAGAAGAAGTCAGTGTATCAAAATTTTTCTCCACTTGTCTGACTGAGGCTCCAAAACAGGGGAGTGGGAATTCTCGGGCAGTCCTCTCTCTCATCACCATCCAGGAAAATCCTGCTTGGCGCTTCCAGCAATCCCCAAATCGGACCACTAGGCCCCATGAGCCCAGAGATGGCCAAAGATGAGAGGAGGCAGGGAGTCAAGCCCAGCGGCTTTCCGGTCTTATCTCCTCTCTTCAGAGCTGTGCATCGCGCCCCAAAGTAGGACACCTTCCCATGCTGGGAATCCCGGCTGTTCCGAAAACCAGGGCGGAACCCAAGTAGCGCCAGCGCGGCGCTCCGCACCCCGATCCTGAAGAGAGTGGGGAGCCTTCAGAGTCTGACCTTCCTAACCCTAACCTCAGGCGGGGCCGATCCAACTGTAGCCTTTGGCCTAGGCCTCGTCTAGTGGCCGGGTGGTCCCGCGGCACCGGGGTCTCTTTCCCCTGGACTTGCGGACATGGTCCAGCTGGACATGTGGCCGTCCAAGCACCTGCGCAGTCTACCCTGTGCGGTCCCGTAGGCTCCTCTCTGCTCCGAATAAGGGCGCAGGCCCACGGTGGCAATAGAGGCCGGTGTTCGGCCCTTGCTGGCTTCCCAGAGTCGCGGGCCCCGGTGCGCTGCTGCCTCCACGCCGAGGAGGCTGCGCTTCGTCCCCCTCCCCCATTCTCACAAAGCCAGGAGCCCGCGGTGCTTCGTCCTTCTAAGAGGGAGCACAATGTTTCCATTGTGCAGAAGCACAGGAAAGGCTCAGGACCGCTGGGCCCATCAGCTCCTCCCCGGTCAGGGGCTGCAGCGGCGCCCAGCTACCCTGTCCCTGCCCAACGCGCCCTTTTCCCCTCCCCGACGCGGGTTCCCACCGGCCCGCGCTGTCTGCCGCCTCACCTCTTGCCCTCCCTCCTGCCTCCCCCGTCCCGTCCCTGGCTGACCGCCCCCTCCCCACAGGCAGCGGGCAGATCCAGCTGTGGCAGTTTCTGCTGGAGCTCCTGGCGGACCGCGCCAACGCCGGCTGCATCGCGTGGGAGGGCGGCCACGGCGAGTTCAAGCTCACGGACCCAGACGAGGTGGCGCGGCGCTGGGGCGAGCGCAAGAGCAAGCCCAACATGAACTATGACAAGCTGAGCCGCGCGCTGCGCTACTACTACGACAAGAACATCATGAGCAAGGTGCACGGCAAGCGCTACGCCTACCGCTTCGACTTCCAGGGTCTGGCCCAGGCCTGCCAGCCGCCTCCCGCGCACGCCCACGCCGCCGCCGCAGCCGCCGCCGCCGCCGCCGCCGCCCAGGACGGCGCGCTCTACAAGCTGCCTGCGGGCCTCGCCCCGCTGCCCTTCCCGGGCCTCTCCAAACTCAACCTTATGGCCGCCTCGGCCGGTGTCGCGCCCGCGGGCTTCTCCTACTGGCCGGGCCCGGGCCCCGCCGCCACCGCCGCCGCCGCCACCGCAGCCCTCTACCCCAGCCCCGGCTTGCAGCCCCCGCCCGGGCCCTTCGGCGCGGTGGCCGCCGCCTCGCACTTGGGGGGCCACTACCACTAGACGGGGCGGCCCCGTGCCTCGCGGCCTCTCCCGGGCGCCCAGAGCCTCGCTCGGTCCCATCCACACCCGGGAAAGGGGCCGGGAGCCTCCCCGACCGTTCCTTTGATCTTAGATTTTCCTCCGTCGCAGCACCCAGCCCCGGGGAGGGGGGGGGGTAGGGACCTGAAGCCTCCTCTGTCTTCTTTTAACTTTGGATTTGCCACCGCCTCCCGCCACCTCGTTGTACCCCCCCCCACCCCGGCTTTCTTTAACCTCCATCTTCATGGCCCCAGAGCCCTTAAGGGGGTTGCGGGACCTCCCGTGTCTTTTTCTGCCCTCCACCTGTACGTCTGCCTGGCTCCTGGAAGCCCCTTCCGTTATGACCTCTCTTTTTCGAATTCCAAGTCTTTTCTCGTTTTTTCTTTCTCCCACCGAGCTGCCCCGTCCTAGAGTGATAGCGGCCTCACACAGTCCACCTGCTCCTTGACCTCCGGGACTTCACCGGTTTGGTGAGGCTCCCTGACCCTGGGACTCATCTAGGTAGCTTCTGCGCCCTCCCTTCCTCTCTCTCCTTCTCTCTCTCCCCCTCTCTCTGGATGGCCTGGTGTGTTTCTATTCCCTTCCAGACCCATTAAAGTTCCCAAGCTCCCTACTGCCTCCTCTTCGTGTTCTTTGATGCACCCGAACCTTTTTTCAGGGGGAAAGGAGATGGCCAGCTTAGGCCTGAGCAGAAAAGCTTTACAAGGAAGAGTTGGAGAGAATGAGGCCAAAGCCGACTTGGGTGCTACAGGGGGCAGGGGAGCCTCTAGTGGGTGGTCTCAGCCCAAGAGGGAGACCGCCCTAATGCAGCAGCCCCACCGGACTGACCGCGGGGCAGTGGACCCCAGCCTGCCTCACCCTGCCTTCCACCTGCCCCTTCACCTCACCCCATCCCACCCTCCATCCCAGCCTGTCTCATCTGCAGGCCATCTCAACCTTTCCTGTCTCCAGTTCGTCTCCTTCCCCACCTGCCCTGCCCTCCCCAGCCGACCCTCTCTTTGACTTTCTCTCGCTCTCCTTCACAACCCCTCCCCCCGCCCCTCTATCGCCAACGCTATCTCTTCTGTGGATCTGCCTCCTGATTTTCAGAAAGACCGGGACATCTCCCCCGCTACCCACCCCCACCCCGACTCGGGTTCCGCACCCGCCGCCACCCGCGGTGGCTTGGTGAGGCACCCTCCTTCTCTTGGGTGGCGCGCGCCCTCTGCTGGTCGGAGGAGGGTAACCCAGGGCCGGGTTTTACTGCTACGTCCGGATTTAACCTGGTGAAGCCTCAGGTGTTCCATCTCCCCGCGTCCAGGTGGACCCCCACGCTTCCAGGCTTTCTTTGGTCTTCAAAGAGGAGGGCAAAGGGGAACCTCGGCCCTGCCTCCCTCAGGAAGTCCTGGAAGTGGCTCAAGTGGGTCATTCTGTTGCCCGCCCCGCTTTTTAAAAGATTTTATTTATTTGAGAGAGAGAGTGCACCTGAATGGAGGGAGGGGCAGAGGAAGTGGGACAGCAGGCTCCCTGCTGAGCGGGGAGCCCGACGTGGACTTCATCTCAGCACCCTCGGATCACGCCCCCTTAAAGCCGAAGGCAGACGCTTAATGGCTGGGCCCTTCTCCTCCCCACCTGGAGGTCCTTCTGAATCCTGCACGCACTGGGACCATGGCCTTTATGCTCTCTCGAGAGGCTTTTTACAAAAACTATTGGCGGGAAAACTGCCTTAAACACGTCCCGTTAGATGAAACAACACCTGGGCAGGTGCGTGAGGCGCTTGCTCAGACCTTGGGCTGCACACCAAGGCAAGCCCCCACCCCTTTCCCCATGGTCTTGGTACTTCTTTCCCAAGATTCCTTCGGGTTGCTGGTTGAAGGGAGAACACCCTGGGCTCCCAGAGGAGGCATAGGAAATTTGGGAGAAACACACATATGGCCTTCATTAAATATGAGTTGGATGAAGGGGGTAATGAAGCATGGGGGGGAAATGACCTACAGGCCCGTTACACAGAGGTTACTATTCGTATCTCTTTGACATAATCCCTTTCCTTTTCACTATGCCTTTTAGAATTAAATGGCACCCTACTTTAGTCACCTAATATTCTAGTATGAGCTTGTTCCATCTCATTACGCCCTATAGACCTCATGAGGCTCACGCATTCCAAGGGGGCGAGTCCCACGTTGTAAGGGCCCGGTGACTTGGAGAGAGGATCAAAGGACCTCTTTGCAGGGGGCAGGAAGCTGGGAAGGAGAACAGATTCACCAGAGAGACAGAACCGAGATCCAGAAAGATCTGGGCTGCTAAGAATCGTGGGCTAAATGTAACAAGGTGAAATTTTCTGGCAAGGAGGGTGAGGCCCTGCTCTTAGATCTTTAAATGAAAGGACAGAAGGTCAGAGTGTGAGGCGTGGCAAGAAGTGGCTCAGGAGAGCCTGTGTATAAATTAGTGGCTTCTTAGCATAATATTAAATGGGAGGCTGAAGGTGGAGTGCGGAAAAATCATTGTGATCTGAGGTGGGATTGAAGGAGCTATGGGAGTGAAGGTGAAGGAAATGACCCACTTGCGCTAGTAATTGTGCCCCGGTATACTGGACACAGTGTTTAGAGAACAATTCCGAGAGAACACCAGAGGGAGAACATACAGCATAGTGGGCTCGGGCAGTGAGAAGAGAGAGAGCTGGAGAACCAACGGCAATGAGAGACGTAATCTGGAAATCACACTGGGGAAAGCGACATGAGGGTTGGCCTCAATCACTCAAAGAGCTGGCTTGTAACAGAGGATCTGGATGTATGTGACAAAAGGCAGTATTGGGACACATGGTTGGAAGCTACGGATAGACAGATGTGCCAGTTTGATCCTGAAGGAAGGCAGTTGTCAGTACTCAGCAGCCCCTTCCCTAGGGGGTTGGGGGAGGCAGGGACAAGATAACGTCTCCAACCTTGAGACTCTTCAAGTCCTGGGAGTACGCTGGTAAGAGTGGGATTTCAGGCACTGTTGAGGAGCCGAGGGGGAGGTGCCCCTAGGAAATCACATCCTTAAAGTCACCTGCCCCTCTGTTTTTTCCTACACTCAGGGCCAGTTTGGAAGCTAAGATACAAGATTGGGAATCAGAAAACATGAATTCCAGTCCCAGTGTGGCAACTCACTTGCTTCGTCACCTTTGGGCAATCACATCTCTTCTCTGGGATTCCATTGTGTCTCCTTAAAATAATGAGGCTCAACCAGGGATTTGAGAATTCTACTTTGTGGAACCTCAGAGGTCACCTAGGTTCTCTCTGTCCAAAAAGAAAAAAAGTTGGAAAATGACTCTCCAAGGTGATTTCTAAGGTTGTGTCCAGCCCCTGAATCCCATAGATGGGTGTTCTCTTCTGCAGGCCATCTCAGCTCTGGCTATAGCTCTGCCTCGGTGATGTTTCCAAGCCCTGAGCTACTGTGATCTTGAGATGACTCTACTCCATCCCAAGTCCCAAAGAAGCCCACTCTTTTATTTATTTTTTTAAGATTTTATTTATCCATTTGACACAGACAGAAAGAGAGAGAGAGCATATAAGCAGGGGGAGCAGGAGAGGGAGAAGCAAGCTCCTTCCTGAGCAGGGAGCCTGATGCAGGAGTTTGGGGGGCCCAATCCCAGGACCTCAGGATCAAGACCTGAGCCCAAGGCAGATGCTTTGACCAACTGAGCCACCCAGAAGCCCTGAAGCCACACTCTTAATACATCATCTTCCTGATGATTCAGGTCTGTCCTCATGGACCCTTAACCCCTTGATCCTTGGCCTTCGAGGATCCTGACCCTATCATTGCTTCCCTCTCCCACTCCAAAGTCCAGTTCCTCTTGCATTCCCTGAAGTCCTGAGGCTTTTCTTCATCTCCTTATTCATGTCACTGGTGAAAATATGACTCACTCCCCACCTCCCCACTCCCATCCCCTCACACCATTTGCTTCTGTTACAGAGTTTATAAAACACTTACACATCCATTGTTTTACTGGTCCCCTCCAAGATCAGGGAGGAAGACAGAGCAGGGATCGCTTTACCTGCTAGAAGGATAAATAAACCAAGGCACAAGAGGTTAAGAGACTTGGCCAAAGTCTCAGATTTGTTCTAGGACCTGTGTCTTCTGGTTTCTCTCGCAAGTCTTTTCCCAAGGCTGAGTGGTTTCTCCATTGTCCTGAGTGGCCCTTAATCACCTTCTTTGCAGGCTCCTCCCCCACCCCGAGCCAGGATTACACACACCTGTGTCTCCTCCACAGGTGGAGGATAGCGTGTGTGCCATGTCACCAAGCTCTGCTTGCAGATGGACTCAGAAGCCTGGATAGCATGTGGCATGAGAACATCTGTGTCTACACCACCTGATACTCGCAGGGTCACAGAGCCACATAGTAGTTCAGGGGACCACAGATAAACATCGAAATGGGCTTCTGTGCTGTCCTTTTCTCAGACCCTTCTGCTTTTCTGGACTTCATCTTTTTCCAACATGTCTTTAAGATGCATGGAACTTCAGGTTGTTCCCCAACCTGTTTATAATCTGTATCAGTTAAACTTGCTGATAATAAGAAGGAGCAGTCCTACCATTCATTGAACCTGACTCTGCCGGGCTATGCCCTATGCCAATGCTTTTCATGTGGCATCTCCTCTGAGCGGTCCACAACCTTGCGAGGTGGGGGTGGTTATCTCCCCTTCCAGATGAGGGAGCTCAGGCTTGGAGAAGTCAGGTGGCTGGCCCAGCCCGTGATTCCTGAGCTCAAGTCTTCAACATCACACCAGATTCCCTCCTGCTGGGCCTTCCTGGAGATCCTCTTCCCCATGTGGATGGGACCTGCTGCTTACCCATCGCAGGTGTACTCTTGTCTGATTGCCGTAGCAGAAGGTGGATGGTTATGAAGAGCAGATCGACAGCTTGTCTTATGAGTCCTTATTTAGGGCCTCCATCTGGTAAAGAACAAAGCGGAGACTGTTTTGTTGCCCCCTTGTCTTTTGCAAGGATTCACCTTCTTACTTGTGCTC